TAGCCAGGAAGGAACTGAAGAATGGACTTAGGAGAGCTAGAAAGGGGGATGAAAAAAGCCTTGGCGGGTAGGATCAAGGAAAACTCCAAGGCTTTCTATATCTTTGTGAGGAACAAGAGGATGGCCATAGTGAGGGTAGGGCCAATCAGGGATTGTGGAGGGAACTTGAGTGTGGAGTCAAAGGAGGTAGGGGACATCCTTAATGAATATTCGCTTCAGTATTCACCAGTGAGAGGGACCTTGATGTTTGTGAGGACAGCATGAAACAGGCAGATATGCTCAAACAGGTTGATGTTAGGAAGGAAGATGTGCCAGAAATTTTGAAAAACATGAGGATAATTAAGTTCCCTGGGCCAGACGGGATATACCTAAGGTTTCTACAGGGCGCGAGGGAAGAGATTGCTGCCCCTTTGGCAATGATCTCTGCGTCCTCACTGTCCACTGGAGTAGTACCAGAAGATTGGAAGGTGGCAAATGTCATTCCCTTGTTCAAGAAAGGGAATAGGGATTATCCTGGGAATTACAGACCGATCAGTCTTACTTCTGTGGTGGGCAAATTATTGGAGAGGATTCTGAGAGATAGAATTTATGATTATTTGGAAAAGCACAGTTTGATTAGAAACAGTCAGCATGGCTTTGTGAGGGGCAGGTCATGCCTCACAAGCCTTATTGAATTCTTCGAGGATGTGACAAAACACATCGATGAAGGTAGCGCAGTGGATGTGGTGTATATGGATTTTAGGAAGGCATTTGATAAGGTTCCCCATGGTAGGCTCATTCAGAAAGTAAGGAGGCATGGGATTCAGGGAAATTTGCCTAGCTGTCCAATAGAAGACAGAGGGTGGTAGTGGATGGAAAGTATTCAGCCTGGAGCTCGGTGACCAGTGGTGTTCCACAGGGATCTGTTCTGGGACGTCTGCTCTTTGTGATCTTTATAAATGACTTGGATGAGGAAGTGGAAGGGTGGGTGAGTAAGTTTGCCGATGACACAAAGGTTGGTGGAGTTGTGGACAACGTGGAGGGGTGTTGTAGGTTGCAACGGGACATTGACAGGATGCAGAGCTGGGCAAAGAAGTGGCAGATAGAATTCAACCCAAAAAAGTGTGAAGTGATTCATTTTGGAAGGTCGAATTTGAACGCAGAATACAGGGTTAATGGCAGGATTCTCAGCAGCGTGGAGGAACAGAGGGGTGTTGGAGTCCATGTCCATAGATCCCTCAAAGTTCTACCCAAGTTGATAGGCGTTTGGTGTGTTGGCTTTCATTGGCAGGGGATTTGAGTTTAAGAGCTGTGAGGTTATGCTGCAGCTCTATAAAACCCTGGTTAGACCGCACTCGGAATATTGTGTTCAGTTCTGGTTGCCTCATTTTTGGAAGGATGTGGAAGATTTAGAGAGGGTGCAGAGGAGATTTACCAGGATGCTGCCGGGACTGGAGGGCAGGTCTTATGAGGAAAGGTTGAGGGAGCTAGGGCTTTTCTCATTGGAGCGAAGAAGGATGAGAGGTGACTTGATAGAGGTTTACAAGATGATGAGAGGCATAGATAGCGTGGATAGCCAGAGACTTTTTCCCAGGGTGGAAATGACTATTACGAGGGAGCATAATTTTAAGGCAATTGGAGGAAGGTATAGGGGAGATGTCAGAGGTAGGTTCTTCACACAGACAGTGGTGGGCGTGTGGAATGTGCTGCCAGCAGTGGTAGTGGAGTCAGATACTTTAGAGACTTTTAAGCGACTTTTGGATTGGCACATGGAGGATAGTAAAATGTAGGGTATGCAGGGTAGATTGATCCTAATAGGATAATAGGTTGGCACAAAATTGTGGGCCGAAGGGCCTGTACTGTGCTGTACTGTTCTATGTTCTATGTACGTACATGGTACATACTCATGTAACTCAGCCAAATCTGTCTACATGATACGCCGCAGGCCAGGATGCCCCAAGGCATGACATATTGGTGAGACCATGCAGACACTATGACAACGGACGAATGAACACTGCACAACAATCGCCAAACAGGGGTATTCCCTCCCGGTTGGGTAACAATGCAGAACCGCTGAGTAGAAATTGATAGCCAAGTTCCATACACATGAGAACAGGAATCTTGGGTTCATGTTGTGCTACATGTAACCCTACCATACTATTCTGTGTTTGTAAAATCTTCCTTACTGTTCTGTTTTGACACTTATTACCTTGATTACTTGTGAAAATCTCTCTAACCAATTTGTACAGTTTTGGATTAGAGTCATAGAATCATAGAATCCTATAGCACAGAGACAGGCCTTTCGGCCCAAGTGGTCCATGCTGACCAAAATGTCCATCCACACTAACCCCATTTCCCTGCACTTGGCCCATATCTTTCTAAACCTTTCCTAACCATGTATTTGTCCAAAAGCCTTTTAAATGTTGTTAATGTACCCGCCTCAACCACTTCTCCTGGCAGCGCATTCCATATGCGTACCACCCTCTGTGTAAAAAAGTTGCCCCTCAGGTTCCCATGTATTCTTTCCCCTCTTACCTTAAACTGACGCCCTCTAGTCCTCCATTCCCCAACCCTGGGAAAAAGACTGAGTGCAAGAAAAAAGTCCGAGCTTGTTCAACCTTCCTTGTAGCTCAGTTCCTTGACATCCTTGTCAATTTCTTCTGCATTTTTTCCAGTTTAATAACATCCTTCCTATAGCAAGGTGAGCAAAACTGAACACAATACTCCAAGTGCAGCCTCACCAACGACCTGTACAACTGAAACATAACTTCCCAACTTCTGTACTCACTGTCCTGACTGATGAAGGCCAGTGTGCCAAAAGCCTTTTTCACTGCCCTGTCTACCTGTAACTCCACTTTCAGAGAGCTGTGCACCTGAACTCCAAGGTCCCTCTCTTCCACTACACTCGTGGAGGCCCCACGATTCACCATGAAACTCCAACCTTGATGTGACTTTCCAAAATGCAACACCTCACACTTATCTGTATTAAACTCCATTTGCCATTTCTCGGCCCATTTCCCCAGTTGATCAAGATCCTGCTGCAATTTCTGATAACCTTTCTCACTGTCCATGATACCACCTATTTTAGTGTCATCCGCAAACTTACCATTCATGCCTTGTACATTCTCATCCAAATCATTGATACAGATAACAACCAGCAATGGGCCCTGCACTGACTCCTGAGACACACCACTAGTCACAGGCCTCCAGTCCAGCTTGTTACTTTGGTTAGAACCTCATCATACGACTCTGATACCTGATTGATTGACTGATTTTATCATCACGTGTACTGAAGTCCAGTGAAATGATTTGTTTACAAGCAATACAGGCAGATCATTGTAAGTAAGGATGTACACTCTGTGATGCTCTGGGCTGTGCACACCACCTTCTGTAGTTTCTTACGGTCCTGGGAAGAGCAGTTGCCAGACCAAGCCTTTGTGCGCTCGAACAGCATACTTTCAATGGTGCAAATTTCCTGAGCCATCTGAGGATGATACCTACTCATGTTATTCTAGCCATTGGGTTTTCGTCCTGCACCATCTTATGTTTGATTGTTTGTAACTATGTCTCTGCCTTAATTAATCAGTTCATAGGTCATCCCTTCACTTGTTACACAGCCTGTCGACCTTACACTGTCATGATTTGTACTTATCTGTCAACTCTCTTAATTACCTGGTATTATCTTTCCATTATCTCTCTGCCTATATATTCTGCACCTGTGCGCCTCTCTCCACTTCAAATGGCGATTGACTTCGAAAGCTTGTAGGTTTAAATAAACTTGTTGGACTATAACCTCATGTCATGTGACTTCTGACTTTTTCAAATGGCAGGGCAACTTCAGCAAATTCTAGATTATCAGCATCCTCATTCCTTTGTTCTTATGTGTCACTTTTCTTTCAACAGGTTACAAATTGGCCCAGCAAAACCGTTTCAAAAACCTGAAAGATTACAAGTTTGTATCCCCATATGTCTTATCAGGGAAACAGAAACGGAGTGTAACTGTCCTTCCACGGGTAATTAATCTGATTTGATTTGATGTTGTCACATGTACCAAGGCACAGTGAAAAGTGTTCTTTCCATGCAGTAGACTCGCCAACTTTAAGGGCATTTAAATGATCATTGGATAAACATATGGATGATAATGGAATAGTTTAGGTTAGATGGGCTTCAGATTGGTTTCACAGGTCGGCGCAACATCGAGGGCTGAAAGGCCTGTACTGTGCTGTAATGTTCTATGTTCTAAATTACACAGGCAGATCATACCAGAAAAAGTGCACCAGGATAGCAGAAGAGTGCAGGATACAGTGTTACAGTGCAGAGAAAGAGATCAACATTAATATTTGAGAGGTCTGTTCAATAATCTGATAACAGCGAGGAAGAAGCTGTTCTTGAATCTATCTGTAAAAATTCTGACATTGTTTGACAGTGTGATTGCATCAATTCAATTTAACCTGCTGCCCCATCCCCATCTATTGCAATGCTGCAGATTATTCCAGTGAGAAATTCTGATTGTAGTGCGATAATATCAATTTCCCACATGGAAATCGTGCCCCCATTTCCAACAGATTCAATTTTTATCAGCAGAGGAGAGGATTGGGCTGTGAATTGCACCAAAAGGAAACACAAACTTAGCAGGATCATTTGAAACTTGTTCAGTATTAGAATTAGGATGGACAAGTCCCCAGGTCTGGATGGGATCTATCCCAGGTTACTGAGGGAAGCAAGAGAGGAAATAGCTGGGGCCTTAACAGATATCTTTGCAGCATCCTTGAGCACGGGTGAGGTCCCAGAGGACTGGAGAATTGCTACTGTTGTCCCCTTGTTTAAGAAGGGTAGCAAGGATAATCCAGGTAATTATAGACCCGTGAGCCTGACGTCAGTGGTAGGGAAGCTGCTGGAGAAGATACTGAGGGATACAATCTATTTACATTTGGAAGAAAATGGGTTTATTAGTGATAGGCAACATGGTTTTGTGCAGGGAAGGTCATGTCTTACCAACTTGATAGAATTCTTTGAGGAAGTGACAAAGTTGATAGATGAGGAAGGGCTGTAGATGTCATATACGTGGACTTCAGTAAGGCGTTTGATAAGGTTCCCCATGGTAGACTGATGGAGAAAGTGAAGTCGCGTGGGGTCCAGGGTATACTAGCTAGATGGATAGAGAACTGGCTGGGCAACAGGAGACAGAGAGTTGTAGTGGAAGGGAGTTTCTCAAAATGGAGAACTGTGACCAGTGGTGTTCCACAGGGATCCGTGTTGGGACCACTGTTGTTTGTGATATACATAAATGATCTGGAGGAAGGTATAGATGGTCTGATTAGCAAGTTTGCAGGTGACACTAAGATTGTTGGAGTAGCAGTAGTGAAGGGGACTGTCGGAGAATGCAGCAGAATATAGATAGATTGGAGAGTTGGGCGGAGAAATGGCAGATGGAGTTCAATCCAGGCAAATGCAAGATGTTGCATTTTGGAAGATCCAATTCAAGAGCGAACAGTGTGGTAAATGGAAAAGCCCTGGGGAAAATTGATGCTCAGAGAGATCTGGGTGTTCAGGTCCATTGTACCCTGAACGTGGCAATGCAGGTGGATAGAGTGGTCAAGAAGGCATACGGCATGCTTTCATTCATTGGACGGGGTATTGAGTACAAGAGTTGGCAGGTCATGTTACAGTTGTATAGGACTTTGGTTCAACCACATTTGGAATACTGCATACAGTTCTGGTCGCCACATTACCAAAAGGATGTGGATGCTTTGGAGAGGGTGCAGAGGAGGTTCACCAGGATGTTGCCTGGTATGGAGGGTGCTAACTATGAGGAGAGGTTGAGTAGATTAGGATTATTTACATTAGAAAGATGGAGGTTGAGGGGGGGACCTGATTGAGGTCTACAAAATCATGACAGGTATAGACAGGGTGGATAGCAAGAAGTTTTTTCCCAGAGTGGGGGACTCAATTACTAGGGGTCATGATTTCAAGGTGAGAGGGGAAAAGTTTAAGGGAGATATGCGTGGAAAGTTCTTTACGCAGAGGGTGGTGGGTGCCTGGAAGGCGTTGCCAGCGGAGGTGGTAGAGGTGGGCACGATAGCATCATTTAAGATGTATCTAGACAGATACATGAATGGGCAGGGAGCAGAAGGATACAGATCCTTGGAAAATAGGTGACACGTTTAGATAAAGGATCTGGATTGGCGCAGGCTTGGAGGGTCAAAGGGTCTGTTCCTGTGCTGTAATTTTCTTTGTTCTTTGTTCTTCAGTGTTCAGATTCTGTTTTCACGAGTTCAAGGGCTTTGTGTGTCAGCACAGCCTTGGTGGGCCGAAGGGCCTATTCCTGTGCTAGCTTATTTTTTTGTTCTTTAATCTGCAAAGTGGGAGTCAGTTATTGATAATTTAGTTGTAAGTGCTACTGAAGGGAAGATAAGATCTGCTTAAGTATGATGATCTGAAGTTTTGTTTACAATTTTAAAGAACAAAAATTTGAAGAAAGTAAGTTAAAGCTGTTGTTGAGTGTTTTAAAAACATCTGCTGAATGCTCTGATTAGCACATCATCCACTATAAGTTTTCTTAAATTGTTCTGATTGTTTCAATCAAGTTGATATTTTTCAAGGACTATTATTTAACCATAATGAAATGTTGGGCAAGGTGACAGTCATCTCAGCAGGGATCTCTAAGCTCACAGTTTGATTAACAAGTTAAAAATGCAGGGAATGGATTAAGTGTTTTTGTTGCCCTTGAGAAGGTGGTGGTGAGCTGCCTTCTCGAACCACGACAGTCCATATGCTGTAAGCAGACCCACTAAATTCTACATTTATATCATGGGGAAGAGAATAACCAAGGGAAGCGCAGGGCCCATTAGGGACAAAGAGGCAATCTGTTTGTGAAGCCAGAGAACACTGGGAGGGTGCTCAGTGATTATTTCACATCTGTCTTTACTCAGGAGGAGGAAGATGCAGGTACAAATATCAAGAAGATGGACTGTGAAGTTCTTGAGCAGACTGACATAGGGAGTGAGGAGGTATTGGAGGTTTTGTTGAATGTAAAACTGGATAAATCCTTAGGTCTGGATGAGTTGTATCTCAGGCTACAGTGGGAGCCGAGGGAAAAAATTACAGGGGCCCTGACCCAAATTTTTATTTCATCTCTGGCCACAAGTTCAGATCTGCTGGAATTTTTTTGAGGAGGTGACCAGGTGTGCAGATGAGGATGGGGTAGTTGATGTAGTTGATATGGATTTCACAAAGGCCTTTGACAAAGTCCCACATGGGAAACCGATAAAGACGGTGAAAGCACACGGGATCCAGGGTAACTTGGCAAAACAGATCCAAAATAGACTCAGAGACAGGTGATAGAGGGTAGTGACAGAAGGCCGTTTGTGTGACTCGAGCCTGGTGTGCAGTGGGGTGCCATAGGGATCAGTGCTGGGTCCCTTATTGTTTGTGATGTTCATGAATGATGAAGTTGCGAATGTGATAAGTAAATTTGCTTGTCCACAGATCCATGAAGATAGGAGGATGGGTTAATACGGTGGTGAAGAAGGCATTTGGGACATTTGCCTTTCTCAGACGTGGTATGGATTATAAGAGCAGGGAGGTTATGTTGGAGCTGTACAGCACTCTGATGAGGCCACAGCTGGAGCACTGTGTGCAGTTCTGGGCCCCACACTATAGAAAGAATGTGATTACACTGGAGAGGGTGCAGAGGAGATTCACCAGGATGTTGCCTGGGATGGAGCATTCCAGCGGTAAAGAGAGGCTGGATAAGCTCAGGCTGTTTTCTTTGGAGCAGGGAAGATTGAGGGAGAACCTGACAGAGATACATAAGATTATGAGGGGCATGAACAGGGTGAATAGAAAGCAGCTGTTCCCCTTAGTTGACGGATCAATAACAAGGTGACGCAATTTTAAAGTAAAAAGCAGGAGATTTAGAGGCAAGTAGTTTTTCACCCAGAGGATAGTGGGATCTGGAATACAGTCCCTCAAAGTGTATTTGAGGTGGGAAACCTCATGATCTTTGTCACATGACAATGACCTGCCCCACCCTCCACCCTCCGTTTGCCTGGTTTTCAAAGTAAATGACAGTTAACAGTTTTCTAACGGTCACCGGGAGAGGAGTAAATGTCTGGTAAGGATTTAATCCCTCAGTAAAACACTGTGTACCTCATTAACGCAGACCTTCAAACACTTCAATTTTTACAGCCAGGGAGAAAATATTCAGAAAAATAAATCTCACAAAATGAGTTGAATAAAATAAATCTAGGTTATTTTTGTTAGTGGGATACTATCTGTGTGAAGTTTAGTTTGTTTAGCCTAATTAACTAAAATCAAACAAAATATGTCAAATAACAATTTGGATGGTAAGTCAAATTCTGGTCAAAGGTGTTAATTGTAAATTTTAAAATGTCAGGAGAGGCCAGCTGAATGTCTAAAAACAGAAAGAACTGCGGATGCTGTAAATCAGGAGCAAAAACAAAGCTGCTGGAAAAGCTCAGCAGGTCTGGCAGCATTTTTTGTTATTCATTGACGGGATGAGGGTGTTGCTGGCTCGGCAGCATTTATTGCCCATCCCTAATTACCCAGAGGGCTGTTCAGAGTCAACCACATTGCTGTTGGTCTGGAGTCACATGTCCTTCCCTAAAGGACATTAATGAACCAGATGGGTTTTCCCAATAATTGACAATGGATTCATGGTCATCATTAGATTCTTAACTCCAGATATTTATTGAATTCAAATTCCACCATCTGCCATGACGGGATTCGAACCCAGGTCCCCAGAACATTATCTGGGTCTCTGGATTAATAGTCCAGCAATAATACTACTGGGCCATCGCCTCCCAGCATCTGTGAAGAAAAACCAGAGATAATGTTTTGGGTCCGTGACCCTTCCTCAGAACAGGAATCTTCAAAGGGAAGGGTGAAGATTTTGAGGTTGTGGGACAAGATCGGTGCTGGGTCCACTGCTTTCCGTTATTTATATAAATGATTTGAATGTGAACATAGGAGGTATGGTTAGTAAGTT